ACTGGCCGTGAGGAAGCTACGACCCCAAGCGCTACGAAAGGGAGGGTTTGCTGTGCTGAGGACCCCACGTGCAGTGACATATGCATGGACTCACGCACACCAGGTGGCACACACTTGGAAGCACGGTCTCGGGAAAAGGCACACACCGGAGCTTGGGGAGGAATGGAGACCCAGGTGCTTAGGGAAAGCCCCCGCTGGAGCATACCAGGACACGCACATCGTGCACTGCAAACATGGGTACCAGACCACCTACAACCAGTTAAGAGACCTGTGCGCTGACACATCAGTCAGTCCCCTTCCCCCACATAGAGACCAAGCTGAGAGACAGGCACCAGCTGGTGGTCTCCAAGGGAACTCATTGGCTTCATGACTAGAATGGGGGAAGGGGAGTGTCCGGGGCCCTTTGCTTCTTTTAATGGGGAAGGACTTGTTCGCCCCCCCCCCCTTTTTTTTTCCTGACCAGGCCTGGAGCTGGGATGGACTGGAATTGACTCTGCGGTGGGGGTGGGGTTGGTGGTTACCAAGGGGCTGGAGAAGACCCCCTCAGCTTGGGCGGGAAGAGATAGCCTAGTATTAAGCTAAGGAGGCAGGCAGCCTCCTTAGAAAGCCCCCTTCTCCTGTCGACACCTTTCTGACAGAGGGGTGGGGTCTGTGGACCAGACAAAGACAAAGCCATTCATTTTCCTGTAGGAGAAAGCATTACATCCTTGCTTGCCTTAGGGATGGAGTATGCTGTCCTGTTGGGTCAGAGCTGAGTCCTGGAGCACTGATGGGGCAGGTGGTACCTAGCAGGGGTGCTGCAGACAGATGCACCCTCTCTGGGATAGCTGGGAGCTTAGAGGGACCCCCAAGGGCCATCTAGCTGCATTCTGCTATATGAGCACTGTTATGAACTCTTTCCCTACTCTTGGGAAGCCCTTTCCACCAATCTCAGATGCTGGGGATGGAGGAGGTCTCATAGGTGTACCTACTTTGATCATGGCTCACACAACAGCTGTTTGTTGGTTCGGGGTGGGGTCTAGGTGCTTTGGACAGGAAGTAGCATCTGAGGAAGGAGAAAGGTATCTGCAGGGACTCCTGCTTTGTGGGGCTTTCATTCATCCGCCATCCATTCATTCATTGTTGCACGTCTATGATATGCTAGGGTGCACTGGACACAGAGAACAATAAGGCATGGCTCCTAACTCAAAGAGGGCTGGAAACCAGCACACATTCAGTGTCAGGTCATTTACATTCATGATTTTGTATGACTTTCACAGTAACCCAGGAAGGTAGATACACTCATTCCCCTCTCTTCTGAGTAGAAAACCTAGACTTAAAGGAGTCACCTAGCCAGGATTCATGCCTGTATCAGCTGCCCATTCAAGGATGGCCTGGTGGGACCTGGGGAGCAGGGGGAGCAGAGGATGGAGCCTCGGAGGCCCACTCCAGAGTAGCATTTGCTCTGTACTCTGGAGGTTCTGGTTTACTTGTTAGACACCTTCATAAACAGTGGATCCTTGGGGAAGGGGAATGTCAATGACCTTGTCTTGGATACAAATATATCCTTGGCATTTAATTAGCACTTGGCTTGGTTAGGCTTTCATTTGACATGGAATACCCTGAATGAATGGATATGCTAAGTATCTAGCACCTACAGGGGACTGATGCAGCACACCAAGAGGGGACCCATATTGGATGGGAAGGCTTTCAGTAAGGGGAAGTTACTAGGCTGAGGGTTTTTAGGGGGTACCAACATCACATCTGTGGTACTTGTGGCACCTGATCAGTGGCGGCTGTTAGCCTGTGACTGGCATGCAATTGGCATGTGGTCAGGAGGAGGCTGACTTGCTAGTAGGTGCTCTGTATGTTGCTCATCATGGATGCTAACACTGCTCCCTGGAAGAATGAAAGTGAGAGCCATTCATGCCCCCCAGTTACATCAGGCCAGCCATAGCGTCTAGGGGTTGTTTGGGCATCTGGTCAGTTCCCTCTTTCAGTCAGGTTCTGACAGACAGAGCTGAGTAGGCCATGGTAAGGACACATGCTTTATAAGCATTTACAACCCTCGCATATACAAGTACCGTCATCGTCTGCCTCTCAGGTGGCTTATGTCACAACACAGGCTGTGGGTACCAAATGTGCCTAGCAGGCACGGAGGAAACCAAAAGGGCCAGGCTGTGAGAACAGCAGGAAGGAGAAACAGGGCACTGGCTCCCAGGGCAGATGCGCTAAAGGGGGACATGAGCTGCATGTCCAGTGAAGAGCTGGCCCAGGCTGTTCAGAGTCAGCTGTCACAGGACTGAGCCAATCCTGCTGCCCTCTGGAGCCACCTGGCTGGCAACAGCTTCCTGGGAAGCAAGAGGGCGCAGAGCCAGACTCTGGGGAGGTGTTGAGGCTTTGTCAGCTTTAGCTGTGCCTGAGGGGGACATGGGAAAGAAGTTTCTCATCAGGAAAGAATATCTTGCCAGTGCCAGGGGAAGGACCAGGTGGTGGGGCTACAAGAGCAGATCCCTGGCTGGGCTTGGGAGTGGGGAGGGAGACATGTTCCCACTTCCTCCTGCCCATCTGCTGCTCCACCAACCCTCCTTAAAGGCTGAGATTGCAGGCTGGTATTCATGAATTGTAGGGTTTTAAAATGGCACAGCTTCTCGAGAGCATGGTGGCAAAGAATATGCATGTGAAATTAGCAGCCAGGGGACCTCCACTTCATAAATACTTCATGTGCGCGGTTGCAATCCCCTTCTACAAAGCTGAACTTGAAAAGGGCAACGGTAGCTGGACAGTGGTGGCACACGCCTTTAATCCCAGCACTCAGGAGGCAGAGGCAGGTGGATCTCTGTGAAGTTGAGGCCAGCCTGGTCTACAGAGTTCCAGGACAGCTGGGGCTACATAGTGAAACCCATCTCAGGAAAAAAAACAAAAGGCAAAGGTGAGAGGGCATGGGTCTGTGAGACTGAGGCTGGACTCTGGGTTTATAAGCATATGTCATGTGATGCTCACCACAGCCTTAGTCATGACCCAACTCTTCTATAGAGGAAGAAGCAGGCTCATAGAAGGGAAGCGACCTGCACAAGTCTACAAGCTGACAAATAGCAGAGCCAAGATATTTTTCACTTCACCCCCACACCTGTTTTCCAGAGAGGGAAATGGAGTTGATCTCTTCTAGAACTTACCCTGCTGGACAGTGACCTGCCACATCGTTCCTGTGTGTGAGCATGATCATGTTCATGTTCTGCCATGGGGACCTTTGACCTTCTTTGGGGAGAGCTATTTCCTCAGCCTCCCCTTCCTTTGCTTACTGGTATGAGTGTCATCTTAGGCAAGGAGAAGTCCTTGTTTGGGCCTCATTCCTTCCTTGCTGACTCCCTAGGCGTAAAGCTTGCATGAGAGTATTGGGAGACCCTCTGCTGTGCACTAGTTTTACTTTTTTTTTTTTTTTTTCTGAGACAGGATTTCTCTGTGTAGCTTTGGAACCTGTCCTGGAACTAGCTCTTGTAGACCAGGCTGGTCTCGAACTCACAGAGATCTGCCTGCCTCTGCCTCCCAAGTGCTAGGACTAAAGGCATACATTACTACCACCTGGCTCTGCACACTAGTTTTGAAACTTGTGGCACAGAGGGGAGACTGGGACTGAAGGTGTAGTAAAGCTTACTCTGCAAAGAAAAGTAGCTCTGACTGCTTCTAAAAGACAAGTAACCGAGGCCATTGACAGTTGATAGCAGACCTGGATCCTAAAGGTTCTTTGTTCCTTTCTTAGCAAGGCAAGATGCAGGTCTGAATAACTGAGATGTTTTGTTGACCAGCACTCTTTTGGGGTGGAGTTGCCCCCCAGGAAACATTTGTTGCTCTATAGAGATACTTTTGGTGGTCATATCTGAGAGGCTCCTTCTGGAAACTAGCAGAGACTATGGATGCTATTAACCTTCCTGGATCACAGGACAGCCTGCTACAATAACTATCCAGATATCAGAAGAGCTAAGGTGAAGGAGCCCTTGGCATATGCAGTGATGTGTTTGAGCATGTCCAGCAACTAGAGAACCTGGTTGGGGCTAGAGAGATGGTTCAGTGGTTAAGAATGCTTATTGCTTTTGTAGAGGACCTGGGTTTGATTCCCAGTACCTTCATGGCTGCTCACAACAGTTTGTAAATCCAATTCCAGGATGGTCCAATGTCCTCTTCTGGCCTCTGTGGGCACTGAATACACATGGTATACATTCTTACATTCAGGCAAACACTTACATACACAAGATGAAAAAAAATAAATCTTTACATAATAAACAAACTAGAGAACCTGGTACTGGTATAGATTTTGCAACTGACCTAAATGATGTTCTTGGGCAAGCCCCATCCTAGGCATCTGTGTTTTCTTCATCTACACAGTATGGTACCCAGACTGGATGATATGGTCTCTTCCAGTCCCAACTCTGTGACTCCATATCCAGATACTATTGTGCCTTTCATGAAACCCTTGTTCTCCTGATTCTCACCTTGCCTGTTCCTCCCACCTTGGCTTTTCAGGACTCCCAGAGGCCAGGACGGACTCAGCTATGTCAGAGCTGGTACCTGAGCCCAGGCCTAAGCCGGCGGTGCCCATGAAGCCTGTCAGCATCAACTCCAACCTGCTAGGCTACATCGGCATTGACACCATCATTGAACAGATGCGCAAGAAAACCATGAAGACTGGTTTTGACTTCAACATCATGGTCGTTGGTATGGAAAGCCATGGGGTCAATGAAGGCCTAGTGGTGGGCAGCACCAAGGATCCCATTTCTTTCCCCAGAATGGCCTGGCTTCTCTAGGGTGAGCTCTTTCTAGGAGGGAGGATTTCATCATGCTGATCACAGAGTCTGGTCCCTTTCTCCTAACTGGCTGATTCAAGGATGGGAGATTGGGGTGGATGGTCAGCCTGGTTTTACTGCTAGATGAACATGGGCTGCCTCTTTATCACTCTGAGCCAGCTTTTGGGTTTGTGGAATGGGCATTGTCAGCCCTTTCCCCATCTCCAAGAGCTGTGAGAGGATTGGGTGAAAGACGGTCTCATTGTTCACACCTTAAAGCTTCAAAATTTTCCAGGTCACAGTATATAGCAGGAAGGGAACATTTGCCTAATCTGAGTTGTTTACTGTGTGTGGAAACGGAGTGAGGCATCCTACTCCCTAACTCTTTTCCCATCTAATCAAAAGCCCTGTCCCTTTAACCTTGTAAAGATCCCCTAGGCCTGTCAGCTTCTGCCCATTCCTAATTGCTACCCTAGGCCAGCTCACTTGGGTAGCTGCAACTACCAGACTCAGAGCTGATCTGCAGCAGGCTAAGAACTGTGGCCAGGGTAGAAATTATCCAGCTATTTTGCTACAAATATATCAGCTGAGCTGTCAGTATGTTCTGTGACATGGATATTTTAGCTTTCTGGTACCAGTCTTAGCTTAAGAACTGGAAGTAGCCAAGCTGGGTGGTGGTGGCACATACCTTTAATCCCAGCACTTGGGAGGCAGAGGCAGGCGGATCTCTGTGAGTTTGAGGCTAGCCTGGTCTACAGATCGAGTTCCAGGGCTGGCTCCAAAGCTACAGAGAAACCGTGTCTCAAAAGCAAACAAATAAACAAAACCAAAACCTAAACCAACCAAACAATCCCCCCCCAAAACAAAAAACAAACAAACAAACAATCTAACAAACAAAAAACCCTTCAACCTCTCTTCCCCAAAACAAAAGAAAACCAAACCAAACCAAAACAAAACAAAAATCTCAACTAGGGAGGAAGTCAGCTTTGCTGTGAGATGCATAGGAATGGTATACAGAATGATTTAGGGTGTGAGGATTTAGTTCTGTGTTAAAGAGCCTGACTGTCAAGCACAAGGCCTTGGTTTCCAGTCCCTAGCACTGGGGAGTAAAAAGAGGAATTTTCCTAACTGATATAGAAGTGCTCAGGCACTGTGAGACAGGATCCGAATGCAAAGGAATTCTGTTCTTTCAGTGTTATTAAAGATGGAAAAGCTAAGTCAAACAAAAACACAAGCCAAACCAAACCAAAAACTACATCTCACACATGCGCCACACCAATGCACAGGTTGTGCCTTCTCCCAGTGTCTGGGGTCCATGAAGGAACATGGAATCCATTGAACAGACAGCCATTCCCACCTATTGCTCATCCCCAAGGGGCATTCAAATAGGGCTTGGCTTGGATCACGGCTCTGGAGCCCTGTAAGTTCACAGGAGGGCTCTGCAGCTCAGGAGGTAGATGTGCGGCCTGTCTCCCTTTCTCTGTGTCTCCTCCTCCCTTGCTACAGGCCAGAGTGGATTGGGCAAGTCAACGCTGGTCAACACACTCTTCAAGTCCCAAGTGAGCCGAAAGGCCTCCAGCTGGAACCGGGAGGAGAAGATCCCTAAGACAGTAGAAATCAAAGCAATTGGGCATGGTGAGGACTAGGCCAGGATCCTCTGAGGGCTTCTTTCTGAGGGGGCCGATGCTTAGCACAAGAAAGGGGGCTTATTGGTGAATAAGATGTGAAAGGTAATTAAGCCCCAAGTTTGTTGATGCAAACTCCTTAGGCGGCTAGGCCTAGACAGTGGTTGGGGGTGGGGAGAGTGTGTCCATGTAGGACTGGAAGAGGCGGGGCTTGAACTAGGTGATGAAGCCCAGGGAGGATTTAGACAAAAGTAGACACAAGAAGAAGTAGGGGCCTGTCTTCTAGGTATAGGGAGAAACATGCATAAAAATGCCTAGTGGGAGAAGTCAGTAACTTTGACTTGACTAATATATTAGCTGCTTCTAAAAAGTATGAGTGTTCCTGGCCAGCAGGCTGTGGGGCTCCTGGAGTCAACTATAGGACTGATCTATTTGATGCTCTTTCTGTTCTCTCCAGTGATAGAGGAAGGTGGTGTCAAAATGAAGCTGACAGTCATCGACACACCAGGCTTTGGGGACCAGATCAACAATGAAAACTGGTATGCATCCGCCTGTGAGATTTTGTTCCTAAATACTCTGCTAGGAAAGCATAATGCAGATTCATTCCCATTTGAGAACTATCTGCATCCTCCTGGAAAAGAGGCTGGGTCCCCTGGCAGAATTCTATCCTTGCTAACCATCCATGGGGAAGTTGAGGTAGAGAAGGGAGGGTAGGATGTGAGGAGATTGGGACCTGAATGAGCCTAGGAGGCACTCCTGAGCCTTGACCTTTTGATGTATTCCATCTGTTTTCTCCCACCCCTCAGCTGGGAGCCCATTGAGAAATACATCAATGAGCAGTATGAGAAATTCCTGAAGGAAGAGGTGAACATCGCCAGGAAGAAGCGCATCCCCGACACTCGTGTCCACTGCTGCCTCTACTTCATCTCCCCCACAGGACACTCGTATGTACCAGACCCACTCCTGCTACTGGGCCTGGGTCCAGGTTGTGTCATTTGTGCCCAGGATTGGAGAATCCATACATGGACTTAGCTGGGGAGGGCCAGATGGCTGGGAGGTCGGCCCTGTGACCTTGGGTTCCCTAGACTTTCCATAAGAGAGAGAATAAAGCTGACCATCCCTGCTCCCCTCCCCCACACTGTTGACTTGTATCCCAGCACAGCCCAACTGTAGCAGCAGAGAGAACCTGAACAGAGGGCACCTCATTTGTTCAACAGACACTTGCTTTGGACAAGGCTTGGGGCCTGGGGGTGGCAAGAAAGTAAAGTAGGGAGAATCAGGATTCTGGATTGGGGCTGGTATGTCGGCAAGATGTGGAACTTAGCTGTAGGTATCTAGACAGTGGCCATTCCAGCAGGAGAGCCAGACATCCAGAGATGAAGGCTGTGCTGGGAATTTAATTTGTAAGTAGCTGATGTGCCCCTGGGTAAGCAATGAGGGAGCAGGAAGAGGTCAGGGATCTCGGTGGGGTTTCCAGCCCCGTCCTGCAGGGCAGTGTGTTTCTCTAAGCCCCTCTTCAGGGTCAGAACTTAAGTTTTTGAGAGGATGACACAGCAAGGTATACCCTGAATTTTGAAGGAGCCAGCAGTACCCAGCCAATGTTGAGTAATAAAGATTATAAAATAACAATTCTGGGTTAGACCTGGGACCTCAATAAAATGAGGGCTTTTTTGGTTGGTTTTGTTTTGTTTTTTTAGAATGAGTGCTGGGAATTGAACCCAGGGCCTCACACATGCTAGGTAAGCATTCTACCATTGAACTATACTCTAGCCCTCTTTTTGCTTTTTAAAAACATATTTATTTATGTGTTTTTGTTTTTGTTTTTGTTTTTGAGACAGGGGTTCCCTGTCTCAAAATAGAAAGAGCATCAAATAGATCAGTACCCCTGGATGTCTTGGAACAAGCTCTGTAGACCAGGCTGGCCTTAAACTCAGAGATCTGCTTGCCTCTGCCTTCCTAGTGCTGGCATGTGTCACCACGCTCAAGCCCACTTTTTATTTTTTAAGACAGGGTCTCACTTAGTTGTCCCAAATTGCCTTGAACTTACTCTGTAGCCCAATTTGGCCTTGAATTTGAGATTTTTCCTGCCTCAGCTAAAATGATAGCTTTAGCTTTTCTTAGGCCTTGATCCACAGTTAGTTGAAACTATTGGACAATCTGACTTTAATGGATCCCCCAAACTGCAATTTAGAATTTGACTGGGGCTCGAGAGCCTGGCTCTGCAGGACTGAAATTAGGCCATTAAGAAGAGTTCAGTTGGCAATGGCCACCATGTATGTACCCCAAAGAAAAATTCTTAGGTCAGAAAAGGTGTCATGGAATGATTTGAGGGGGGGTTGAAGGAGAGACATGTTTTACATGGAAACCGAGGACGGAGAGGGAGAGCTTGGTTGTGACAGGTTGAGGGACATGCGGCAGGTGCTGAAGCAGTGGACATGTGTGAGGGGAGAGGTCACAACTGCATGGCCTCAGCCAGATTCCCAGACCAGTCCTCTCCCAAGGACAGCATGAGAGGGCAGTAGCTGAGTTGGGAAGGGTTGGTGGCTCTGACACTCTGCCTTCTCTGGGCCCCAGCTTACGACCGCTTGATCTTGAGTTCATGAAACACCTCAGCAAAGTGGTGAACATCATCCCTGTCATTGCCAAGGCTGACACCATGACCCTGGAGGAGAAATCGGAATTCAAGCAGAGGGTAAGTCACCACTTAAGCCTGTCTGTGCTTCTTTGCCCTCCTCTGGGTCCGAGCCATTTCCTACTTGCCATGTCCTCCACTTACACTCTATTCCAGTTTCCCACTCTAACTGCCTCCCACTTAATCATCCAGGAGGCAAGGGCCAGAAGTTCCTGGACCAAAGGTACGTACGTCCATGGAGTTCCAGGCTGCCTCTTCCTCACCCTCCACATCTGTCTGCAAAGGCTCCCAGATACACTCACTGGGATGAACCTGAGATCTCACTGCTCCAGTGTTAGGGTTACTTGAAAGACTACTCTAACCAGTAGCCGACTGGTGCTCATTGGCGAAAAGAAAAAGAAAGTAACCAAAAAGAACACTGAAGAAGTCCTGGAGGAAGAGACTTAAGCTGGCCTTGAAAGCAGGCTATCAGAGAGCCCAGGAGGTGGGCTTTACCTCCCTTCCCTGCAAAGGGAAGTAGAAAATGAAGGCCAAGGTCGAGAGCATGGCCTGTGGTGTCTGGACTCAGCTGTTGTTTGTCTGAAATCTCAGGGGTCTGAGCCTGCGCTCACAGACTCCTCCTCTTTCCTCTCAGGCCGTACTGTGCCTTTTTCAAGATCTTTCTGTTGCCCAGGGACTGGGGCTCACAACACTCTACTGCTTTGCCCTTCTAGGTTCGCAAAGAGCTTGAAGTTAACGGTATTGAGTTCTACCCTCAGAAGGAGTTTGACGAAGATTTGGAGGACAAGACAGAGAATGACAAAATAAGGGTACGTGTGCGGGGTCCTCTTCACCACACAGATGCCCCCTCAGTGTCTCTGGGATGTGCCTTTAGGCCTTTCCCCGGGCTTTTCCCTTACCACACTCCCTCGTCACTTCATCTGACCTAGACTTCAGGAAGTAGGGGAGATGGTGACTCTCACTAGGACTGTGAACCCACAGCAGGGTTTCCTGTACCCAGTCCCTTCCATCAACAGATGATCCAAAGGTCTCCCTTTCCTTCTCAGGACCTGACAAAGCTAGTGTCAGGTGATGGGGCACCAGGCAGGGAACACATTGGGCTGGTGTCCAGGGGAATCTATGGTCTAGTCAAAGTTTCCCTCAATTTCTCCCTTTATAAAATACAGAGGCCAGACTAGGTGAGTGGCTTAAGGCATTCTGTCTCCCTAGAAGAACTATATAAAAAACAAGCAAGGGCCAAGGAGATCACTCAGCCCGAAAAGGTGCTTGCTGCCCAGCTGACCACCTGATGAGCTGGATCCCCAGGATCCATGTGGTGGAAGGAAAGAACTGACTCCCAAAAGTTGCTCCCTGATCTCTGTACACACTTGAGAAAACACACACACACACACACACACACACACACACACACACACACACACACACACACCTCTGCTGCCCCATCAGGTGGTTTGGAGACTGCTGGCTGTACGACTCTAAGGTCTTGCCCTCAATTCAAAATTTCTACAATTCTGTGATTCTGCATCAGAAACCTGGGCCCATTGACCACCCCGATCTAGTCTGTGACAAATCTCTCTCACTTAGGTTTTGGGATCCTTTTAGTCTCTTCTAGAAAGTTGGATAATCTAGTGGGAGCTCTTTGTCCCTTGTAGTTAGACAGATAAAAAGTTTAAAAAGGCAACTGAAGATATCACTGTATAAACTTCCTTTTTAAAGAGATTTTGGTCAGTGAAGGGCCACATCAGATGGTGCATGCCTGCAGTCTCATCACCTGGTGATATGGTAGCCGTCTTATTAGTTTGCATGTTATGAGTTTGCCCTGTGGCACAATCACCCATGAACTTTTCTCAGAATTTAATCCTGTCATTAAGTAACACATGACTCATTTATCTGATGACAATGACAAACACATACCAGGCAGATGAATTCGAGTGTTTGCCCTGAGAGAGCAGAGCAGCCTAGAGCCCTGAGAGTTCAGTAGCTGGGAATCTGCCAGTAGGTTCCATGGGAGCCACACAACACATCTAGGAATCTGGTTGGCGCCTGGGGCGGGGGGGGGGGGGGGGGGGGGGTGCTGTTTATGACAGTTTGTGCTAGCTGGTTCACAGAGCTGTTCCCAATCAAACAAAAATGTGCTCAAGCACAATGAACTGTACAATGTGCTCTCTAGTTGAAGGGAAGCCGCCTTACTGAGGCTAACCAGCCAGACAAGAGTATAGTCAGGGTTAGGCCCAGGACTAGAGTCCCAGCTCAGCCTTTTCAAGGGGTAGAGGCTTGTCCTTACCTCCAGGAGCATTGTTGAATGAGCAACAAAATAATTTGTGAAAGGCTGTCCTGCCCTTGGACATTCAGTTTGGAGAAGAGTACTGAGCATGCATGCCGGTTTGTGCTTTCCCCCTATCCAGCAGGAAAGCATGCCCTTCGCTGTGGTGGGGAGTGACAAGGAGTACCAAGTGAATGGCAAGAGGGTCCTCGGCAGAAAAACCCCCTGGGGGATCATCGAAGGTAATTCAGTACATCTCCTGGAAGAAGTGGCTATCCAGAGAGCAGCTATTAAGCACCAGGAGGTCAAAGTGCTGTTCTGGGATATTGATGCCAACAGCTTGCTGCTAGTAATATGGAACTTACAGTCTGTGATGCCAGTCATAGTCAGGAAGCAATGACACCATTTAATATGTGACTGGATGGCAATGACTTGGTCTGTCAAATGCATTTAAAATCTAGAGAAACTATTGAGGATGGAAAAAACCAGAGAAAGGCTTTCATATGTCATCTGGCAAAGTGCCAAAGGGTGGTTGGGATGTTGTTAGTCTACCAGTTATATGAATAGATGTGACTTTGGGTGGGATATGGTGACTCTGAAAGTTTTCAAGAAGTTACTTCAAGGGTCTCATTTAGAGCTTCGGAGTAGCTCAGTGATAGAGAGCTTGCTTAGCATGTGCAAGGCCCTGGGTTCAATCCCCTGTACAACACACACAAAACCAAACCAAGAAAACAAACAAGCCTTTATTCAAGATGGTAACCAAGTAAGTAGTGCAGGGCTGGTGTTCCTGTCTTCAGAATACCAATCTCAGACAAGTTAAATGCTTCATTCACTTTGCAAAGGTCACACAGTCCCCACCCACCACCAGCAGCTAGCTGTGCTAGAGTCTAAACCCAGGGCTTTTCACATGCTAGTGAAACTTGAACTTCAAATTTCGATATTTTGATTCCCAAACCGAGATTTACTCCACTGTCTTGAATTGTTTATAGTTAATAATATTTTTGGTCCTGGTCCTGGTACTAGAACTCAGGGCCTCACTGTGCTAAACAAGTGTTCTATCACTAAGCTAAATTTTTATTATTATTATTATTATTTAATTTTTTATTATTTTTTTATTTTTTTACTGAGCTAAATTCTTAACTAGTGTTTTTTTTTTTTTTTTTTTTTTTTTTTTTTTTTTTTTTTTTTTGTTTCCGTTGGTTTTTTTCCCAATCCATGGCTGGCCTTGAACCATGATCCTTCTGCTCGTCCCAAATGTTGGCTTGCAGTGGTGGGCCACCGTGCTCACCACACCCAGTACCTTGGGATTTTAAAAGTAGCATTATCTCATTATTCACTTTTGAATTAGAAATATTGATGAGAATGTTATATACACATTGTAAGACCAAAGTCATGCCTTATCCTCCTCTGTTCCCACAGAGGTGTGTGGTTTGCAGACAGTAGTCACTCCATCTCTGTTAACTGGGTTTATTGTATAGAGTGTGACCTTTGAGAGCTGGTTCAGTTATGAGGTCCTATGTGTTTTACTTTCTTTCAATCATCTTAGTCCTTCACAAGTTTCCTAAACTCCAACATTAGTTTTTTGAAAGATGTGGGACAAAGCAAGTCTATATTGAGATTCATTCTACAGTGTCTAGAATAGTATTGTGTCTGTTATACCTGATTAAAAAGTATTTGTTCTGTTAAAAAAAAAAAAAAAAGACAGGAAGGGGACCAGTATGCTAATGAACAAATCTCAGGCAGGGTCACCAAAGAACCTGCCTTTGCTTGTGCTTATGCTGGTACGCTCTCTCTCCCTCTCTCTCTCTCCCTCTCTCTCCCTCTCCCTCTCCCTCTGTCCCTCCCTTCCTCCCTTTGGTTTTTCAAGATAGGATTTCTCTGTGTAGCCCTGGTTGTCCTAGAACTCTGTAGACCAAGCTGGCCTTGAACTCTGAGATCTGCCTGCTTCTGCCTCCTGAGTGCTGGGATTAAAGGCCACCAATGCCACTTGGCATGTCATGCTCTCTTTAACATTGCCTGCTTTCTGGACTGTACACTAGTGAAAAGACCATCCATTTTCTTCTGTTTTGTCTGTAGTGGAAAACCTCAACCACTGTGAGTTTGCACTGCTTCGAGACTTCGTCATCAGGTAAGATATTCTCTCCCTCCCCAGGTGGCAGGTTTAATTATTTGGGATTGAGGGCCATCTGCTCAGATTCACTTCCTGAGTTTCCATGTCTCTGTCAGAGCTTTCTGGCCCTGTCTCAAAGGAGGAGGGTGTTGAAGAAGTGTCATTGGCTCTCAGGAGTCTTTGGGTTTGGTCTACTAAAGAGATATGTTAGCCTCAGAGGTGGATCACTTCCCTCTATTCCCACCCTTAATTGTATCCCCTTCTCTTTTTTTTTTTTACTGTGTCCTTCAGGACTCACCTCCAGGACCTCAAAGAAGTAACCCACAACATCCACTATGAGACTTACAGGGCCAAGAGGCTCAATGACAATGGAGGCCTCCCTCCGGTGAGCGTGGACACAGAGGAAAGCCACGACAGTAATCCATGATGACCCCTTCTCTGTGTTATCTGTCATACATAGCCCACTTCTGCAAACACACACACATCCCAAGCACCACCTCCAGCCACCTTTTCCTTTCAGCTCTGTCCTGCAGGCCTGTCTGGTGTTTGTGGAGTATTTTGTCGTGTGTGTGTGTGTGTGTGTGTGTGTGTGTGTGTGTGTGAGAGAGAGAGAGGGAGGGAGGGAGAGAGTGTGTGTGTGTGTGAGAGAGAGAGAGAGCGAGAGTGAGAGAGAGAGAGAGCACCTGAGTGTGTGTGCTCAGGGGTGAGGTATTTTCATTGCCTCTCTGGAAAGTTCTTTGTTAGTCTGCTTTCTCCATGACTATCCATTCTGTCTCCTTTTTTCTTGTGCTCCAGAACAAAAAGCTGTGCACCTCACTCAAGAGGTCTGGGGAAGGTTTTATTTTAAAATGCTGGGAGCAGGTGAGCCACAGGCAACTTGTTCTTACTTCCTACCCATCCACAAATTGGGGCTGCAAGTTTTCTTCATGGACAGGTGGCTGAGCTAGCCCATGGTGGGGTGTGGGGTTCAGAACAGCCCTCACTGTGGGTTGAGGTGGCCTGGAGTACGGCTAAGCCTTCTTGGAAAAATGCAAAGAAAGGTCATGGGAAGCAGAGAAGAACGCTGAGGGGGTTCCTGCAGAATTAGTGCCTGGAAATGGAGCTCTACCCTTGGGTCCATGTCAAGGTCACTATCAAGTAGTGCCATCACCGCTACAGACCACCGCTTTCTGTGCTCCCCTTGCCCATAGTTCCAGAAAGGTTGGTTGTCTCCTCTTCCCGATTTCTCTCCCCTCAGCCTCCTTTGCCTTCTTTCTCCCATATATTCATACATTCTCCATCCTGCCTGTCTCTGACCTTTCATTTCCTTTTTAGAGTAATCTGTGTTAGCTTCATTTCTATATTTAGAAATCATGCCCAGCCTACTTCCTAAATTGTCTTTCTGCTGCCCTAAAATAAAATTACAACTAGGGGCTGAAGAGATGCCTCTGTGCTTAAGAGCAACTTCCACTCTTGCAGAGGACCCAGGTTCAGTTCCCAGCACCTACTTGGCAGCTTACGGCTATTTGTGACTTCCAGTTCCAGAGGATCTGACACCCTCTTTTAGCCTCCATGAGCATGGTGTATATATACATACATAGAGACAAGTTCTCCTATCCATAAGATAAAAATAAATATTAAAAATAAAATAATAAGTCAAAGCATGGGACAATGCACACTGAGATTGCAAGAGAAATCAGAGCTATAGGGAATAAAAAAGCTAGTTTCTGTGGCTGAGCACTGAAATTTGCCCTGAATTTGGGAGTATCCCCTAGGCAAATAGGGGAAGTTGGTAACTTGGGCTGCCCCCAGTGCTCTGTTCAAGGAAGCACATACAGTGGTCAAGTAAGGCAGCTTTTGGTGGAGGACATTACATCTGTGAACTAATTCTGAAGTATCAGAAACAATATTTGGAATTTCTTAGGGGGCTGAGCTTTGGAGACAAATTCTAGGACACATTTTCCTTTCTCTAGAACCTTCTTTCTGTGTTGAGCTGGCTTTTCTGTGACTTCACCTCATATAAACCCCACTCACTCTTTCTCTGTCCTCATTTGTCTGTCTTTCTCTGCTCCCCTGCCCCCCGCCCCCCCCCATTCTCCCACAGTCCGGTCATGTAGATAATGCTCCCAGGACACTCCCAAGGACACTCCCACCTTTTTCAGGAGCCCTGTAGTTATTAATGCACACGTCCACCGCTTCTTCCATACACAAGTTATTCTTCATCGTGTAGTTTCTAAGGCTGCTTTAAGGAAAACAGTTTAGCCTTAGGAAAGGGAGGAGACCAAGGGATTCTGTTTACAATTGATCTTATCCACTATCCATCTCCTGGTCCAGCCTGGGTGTTTAACTGGTCCTCACCAAATGCCAGCATTTATAATCCCAGTCTTTTATCACTCAGGTGCTAGGAAAAGCAAAAGAGAGTGAAGAGAGAGAGGAGTGAGAGAGGAGGGAAATTATCAAATCATGTGATCCCAATCCTATGGTCTTAGTCTTTCCTGGAGACAGTGCTGCCAATCTAGCCCTCATTCCTCATCTCCATTTTCCCATAAAGTTACTCCAGAGTAGGCATCTGTTAGGCCAGAGTGTTAGCAGTGTTACAGAGCTCCCTGACTACTCCAGGGAGCTGTCATATATGGTGACATGGAACTGGGCACCCAGGGCCACCAGCAGGCCAGAGTGTTAGCAGTGTTACAGAGCTCCCTGACTACTACTATAGGGAGCTGTCATATATGGTGACATGGAACTGGGCACCCAGGGCCACCAGGGAATAAGGATGGTGGGCATTGGTTAGGCCTGACCCCCTAAGCTGTGGTCTCACTCTCCCTGGAGAAGCTGTTTTATGTGTCTGCTGTGACCTGCTGGTCTCCACACCCTCAACCATTCTTAACCCCCCTTGCAGGGAGAAGGCCTCCTGGGCACTGTCCTTCCACCTGTGCCAGCCACCCCCTGCCCCACTGCTGAATGAAGTCCATTTCAAGCGCTGCTTCTCCCTCATTCCTCCCAGCTGTTATTGCTGCAGGGCCAAGCCCCTTTTAATGCCATGCTTGTCCAACCCACCACCACAGCCCCTCTCAGCCCTCCTTAGCAGGTGGGAGGGGCCAGCTGCCTTTAGGACAGTAGCTTCCTCCCTTTAGCCAAACTTCTCCTCTCCTCCTAATGGAATGGAGTTCCTGCCAGCCAGCATTGTCCTGCTCCATCGTCTGTCAGCAGCCCCAGACCATGTGTAGGGAGAAGGAACTCACCGAGAGCTTCTCCTGCCCTTGCAAGCCCATAGCAGTGACTTGGAACCATCTCCAAGGGAACCAGCATTGCTCCCTAGCCATCCATCTGCATGAGTACTCTCTTGGTTCCCTTAAATGGTCAAGAAAGCAATTTTCTGCTTGTTAGAGTCACTGAGGTCAGCTGTGTGAGCCCCCATGTGGGACAAGGGTGTCTCCTTCATTGCTTAAAGGTATTTATAAGGGTGATTCATTACAGATGTTGGGGAGCAAGGGGGCTAGCATCACTTAAAAAAAAAATCATCACTGGTGGCTGGCCCAGTGTGTGTAGACAACCTGTTTACTCCAAAAAATGGCCATTTGGGAAGTGATTTTCCTGAAAAGAGGTTGCTGAGTTTGATTTCCTTATTCCCAAACTAAAAAAAAAAAATGTGAATTAAGTACACACATGAACCACCCAAAACCCATAAGCTATATACACTATAGGAAGAAAAATAGCACCCTTTTGTACATTTAGCAATAAGAGGGATCTCTTCCCACCTACCCTGACCATTCCTACTCCCATCCCCCACCCTGTTAATGTGAGCAATGAATTACCTGACCACAGGTGGTCGATATAGGCTAATGGAAAATACTCAATGGAGGGCAAAGCCCCCAGCAGATGCATGAATGTTTGCGAATGTCGGCTGCCACTGCCCCGTACACTGTGTCTTTATAGAATCCTCCCTTGGCCACCTCACCTGCCATCTCCACCTGGATACAACTTGCTCAAAGGCTGGTGACTTTTGGGCCACTCATCTATAAGTCTTGATGGAACAAGAGGCCCAAGCCTAGGGGATGCAGGAACGACCCATTTTTAAAATGTTAGTAGTCCCAGCCAATGTTTTGGTGATATTCCAGTTTAATTTCCCAATTAAAAGCAAGCCAACAGACACTCAGACTGGTCCTGTAAATGTTGCTAGCCTCTGTGTTTACAACTAAACATTGCTGTTTGAACAATAATGGCCTGATCTTTCTTTGTGTTATTTGTGTTCCTTGCTCTTCCTTCAAATCAGCCACGAATGACCTCATCTCATCCGAGTGTGAGCTAGGGACCCTCTTGGCAAGAAGTAGCCTCAGATATTAGTAATTGAACATATGAGATCTATTCATTGTCAGGTGACATGGGGTCATAGCCCAGTCATTTCCTCCAATTTTGTAATCCCATTGACTGGGAGAGCTGACACTTGATCTCACAGGTCTTGTGTTTTCCCCATAAGTATTTAGTCCCATTTACTTCTTAGCATTCCCTCTTTTTCCCTCTGAAGGCATAAGGACCAATGGAAGCCTAGTCTCGCCAAGAAAACATTTTACTATGAACATATTAAAA